AAAAAAAAAAAAAAAAAAACTGAGAGAAAAACCCTGAAGCTGCAAGACCTACTGGCCTTCAGAATTTATTGGAACCCTTAACCCCACACCCGGCTCATATCTATGTAACCCTCTCTAGACTTCCCTGGCAGCTCTGCCCGTCAAGCTGCTTGAACATCTTGTTGTCGAAGAGCTCCAGGCCTTCAATGTACCTAAGATAAGCAGTGCTCGGCTTCTTGCGCAGCGTACATTAGGACGTTCACGGCAACACGGCAATAATGCGGAGCATCATCCCAACAAGGCAGCTTTGCACGTGGTGGAGGGACATTTAATATTTAGGGCTTCTCTTAACAATCTGCCTGTGATAGTCCTTGGGACCTTTAGGGATATCGGAGGGCATTCTTGTTTTACAAATTCATGAGTTGATGGAGTGGATGTGGGGTATACTTTGGAAGCTGCCCCATCCTCTGCATAACAAGGAGAGTATGTGGGAATGCTGCGCGGTAGGGGTATTACATAGATCATAGTTGCTCCTCAAGCAAACTTGGAAACCTCATATTGGTCATTGTTGGAAAGGGAATTCATAGGGCTTCTTTTCAAAATCAAGCTGAGTTCGCCTAAACCCAAGGCTCGCTTTGGGGCAAGAGGTTTGGAGATTCAGATCTTCAGCTTGGGAGAGGTCAGCAAACGAAAAAATCCCGAAACCCGAAACCGCAGGGTTTAGAGTTCAGGCCGGGTCCTCAGTTCTGGACTGTAAACACATGGCATTGCGAACCTATTCTGAAAACATGGCTAAGTCAATTAAGCTTAGTGAGCAGAATAGAAGCAGCAAGCGTAGCTGTGCTGCTGCATATCGTAACAGCAGCAGACAGGTTCACCTTCCCCCAAACGAAAGTGCAAACGCATCTAGCGCCCTTTTTAAAAGCCGGTAGTCAATGTAGGGCTTGTATGCTTTGCATGTTATTTCGTGCTACGCCTCGGGTCTAGGGCTTCAGAACAGGAGCGTGAGCAGGAGGAAAACTCGTGGCAGCAGCTCTAGTGAAAGAGCACAAATTCCAAAGTCATGGCCTGCCTGCATAATGTAAAATCCTGACACCTACTTCAACATGCTTACGGCCCCAGACTCCGAAGCGCAAAGCTTGAAAACCGCAAACTCAAACACTTTACCCCGAACCCCCTGAACCCTTAAAAGCCCTTAGACACCAAAACCTCCTACCCTCATCCCGTGCTCTTGCTGCAACCCGCATGCGCCCCGTGGTTGCAGTGAGTCTTCCACTTGCTGTAGGGATCCTCCCCGTCATGTTTTGGATATATATCGCGTTAAACAAGCGGATAGCAGTGTACCTGGGGACATATAAACATATATGCTATCCGCATATGTATATACGTATATAACTCTCACATGATTTCAGGGTGCCCTAAATGATGCCTCAACTGGACTGCCCGGCATGTCTTTTCCGC